GGAATATACCTCGGTTACAGGTCAATCCTGTTCTGGTCAGGGCTCAAGCGTGAAGCAACCTATAGATGTGTTTCCCACATCAATTTTTTTTTTTTCTCCCTCTCTCTCTCTCTCTCTCCCCCATCCCTTCCACTCTCTCTAAAAATAAATGGGAAAAACATCCTACTCCTCCGGTCAGGATTACAAAAAAAGAAAAAGCAAGCCCCGGCCCTGGCTGGTGAGGCTCAGTTGGTTGGGCATGTCATGTGCATCAAAGGTTGCAGGTGTCGCTCCTGGTCAGGGCGCATGCCTGGGCTGTGGGATCAATCCTGTGCAGGAGATGCACAGGAGGCAGTCAATAGATGTTCCGCTCTCACACTGACGTTTCTTTCTCTCTCCTTCACCCTTCCTTCCTCTCTAAGTATCAATAAAAAAAAATCTTAAAAATAAAATAAAGAAAACCCTAACTTCTGAACTTATAGAAACATCTGGTTTTTGCTGCAATGAATGGCAGAGGCTAACCGTTTCTAGGAGATCTGAAAGTAAGACATTTTTAAATACAGTTACTGGTAAAGAATGCACACGGATAAAATATTCTCCAGGTACGGATGTCCAAGGAAAACAAGGCGCACGGCCAGGCTTTGATCTAATTCTAAGCATCACCAGCTCATCTTCAGTGTCCATCAGAAGCTCAACAAAAGCCAACTTGGAAGACCTCTCTTCTAGCATGCTAAGGAAATTCACATTCTAGCCTGTTTAAATCATATTGGATGTGTTAGAACAAGTATGCAGAACAGAGTATATAAACACTTTAGAAAATAAGAAAGGTCCCTCTAATGACTCAGTAGCTTGGAAACCCATCAGAAGAATATGAGAGATGCTCTGAAGGATTAAAAAGCTCGCCTTCAGTTGAGACTACTCATCAAGGCTAGAAATGCAGCAGGCCAGCCAACTGAGACATACTGCAATTAACCAAGAATTGGAAATGTTGGAAAATCAATGCGCAGAGTAAAAAATTAGCATGGTGCAGAATAGAAATGATGTGTCACATTCTCAAAGGAGCCCCAATAACGTCCCTAAAGAGAAGAACCAAGGTCAGGAGTATGACCAAGAAATGTGGATTAGCTTCTCCTAAGTTTTTTCTATTAAAAATCAGAAGGACACACACTAGAGCTCTCAGATCCCTGGACAAAGTCAGGGATTTGGCTCAATAAATAGAGCGTCGGCTTGGGGACTGAAGGGTCCCAGGTTCGATTCCGGTCAAGGGCATGTACCTTGGTTGTGGGCATATCCCCAGTAGGGGGTGTGCAAGAGGCAGCTGATCGATGACTCTCTCTCATTGATGTTTCTAACTCTCTATCCCTCTCTCTTCCTCTCTGTATAAAAATCAATAAAATATATATTAAAAAATCTTTAAAAAAAAAAAAAGTCAAGGGCTTTCAATGGAGCCCAGGAGAGTACATACAAAAATGCCAAACCTTATCTTGCCAGGACACAGGTAATGAGGGAGGCAGATAACAGACAACTGAACTGGAAAAGAAGGTCCCACCGTGCAGGTAGAACTAGGGGCTTATTTATCCTTTAACATGTTAAGCGCCCAGCCTGTCTTGTCTTTCGGACGGAAAGTACAGTGTCAGTCACCGGTGACTGACTGGGTGCTTAACATGTTAAACAAAGAAAGATGTGGCTTCCTCTAAACAGGCTAGAATGTGCATTTGAGGCATCACGAGGGTATCCCAGAAGCAGACAGACATTTGTATGAAGGAGCCTGGAAGGGTCAGCAAACTGAACAGAGCTGCTGAGGTGGTCTGAGCGTGTTTCTGGCAGGCAGGTGACTATGCTTGAAAGCAGCAGGCAAGCTAGAAATTGGTATTCTTCTTCTCTTCGGTTTCACCTGGTCTCCCAATGGGCGCATAAGGCAACACTCCCTGAGCTCCCATCAGATGATCTGAGAAAGGTTGGCAGATCATTCCACCCCCCTCTGCAGAGGAAGCGGCGGCTGCAGAGCCCCGAGGAAGCTCATCAGCTCCTGGGCAGGCAGGTCCACTGACTCGAGAAGTCAGACGCGTTAACAGGCTGCCCTTTCCATAGCTTACAAGGTTTCTCTGAAAGGTTTAATGGCCGAGCAATGCTGTGGAAAGTAAAGCTAATAGAAGAGCACTATGCACCATGCTGATATCATTGGTGATAACTGGAGATAAAAACAGGGATCCGGGGGTCAGAGACAAAGAAACCTGTTGGAATCAACACCCCTGCGGGGAGGGCCTAACAAACCACTTTTTACTGAACGAATTCCAGTAAAAAACACAGCAGATGCACTTCACTTGGCCTCTGCTAAAGCTTTAGACACAGAACCTCAAGAAGTTTATCTGGGAAATTAATTCAAATTAGCTTGGTTCAGCATGTAATCACTGAAGATTAATAAGTGGCTGAAGGATGATAAACAAAGACACTTAAGTGAAAGTTCACGCAGTCAGAGACTTGGGGTCAACATCGAAGCCATCCTTGTCAGGAGTTCTGCTCAAGGCCCTGGAGGATGTAAACAGCTCTCAAGTGAGATCTGCAGAGGATGTTAAGCTGGGAGACAGAGGAAGCCCACTGACAGGGGCATAAAATTATAAGGCAGAGTTCAAATGGAAAAAATATAGCTAATCTATCTTGGGGAAAACGACCCTAAACTCCCATAATATTCCACAGACGGGCAGGATAAGGGTCAGAAGCAGCATGTAAAAAGAGCTTTGACATGCTGTAACTCGACAGAAGCAAGTAAGAATGCTAAGGGAACACGAGGAGTGTGTCATGAAGAATGGAATGCTGTATACTTCAGGCAAACAAAAACAGAGCATCAGAACATAGGTGATCTTGAAGTGAGCCAACTTTATCATTTAAAAGGTGGAGGGGGTACATTCTGCACTGAAGATACGTTTTAATGGCTACAAAGCCATCATTTTTATCTGGCAGGTGTTCCAGTCTTTCTCAGATCTTCAGTCATCTCGCTGGGAGTGAGCATCTAGAAAGTGGCTGCCGGCTGCCGTTCTGAGGCTCACTGACAATACTGCCCCAAAGGAAAACTCACAGTTCACGCTGGCCATTTGTCCTACATCTTTGCCTCAGAGCAATGCCTCACAGGCTTGGGGAAGTAGTCAATTTCTCTCCATTTACTCAACCCGCAACATTGCCCTGACCCTGAAGCCAGTTTTTCCACCATGCGTCTGAAAGCAATGGCCCAACACAATTATCTCCAGGCAGCTCACTGCTTTAGCAGGCAGGCACCTTGTTACATTCCTTCAGCTCAAAATGACTACTGGACTAAAGAGGCTCTTTTCTTTTTAAAACCTAAAACCTAAGAAATTCATTCTTTATGCATACTCATTAAACAGGATAGCACAACACAGCTATTTCAAACAGCATAGAGGGAGAGCTTGTGTGGCCTCACGTTCCAAAGCAACTATGCAAAGTGTTTTCATGCTCACCTGCTGATCAGAATTAAATCTCCATTGTGGCAGAGGAAACCCAGGGTAGAAAATAGGACTCTAGGATCCCACTGTACTGCTAAGTGTTCCTGCTTCTCTGGGAATGCATAACCTGTTTTTCAAGTTACCACCAGACCAAGCTGAGCTCACCCACACAGATTCACCATCCCAAATCCCACCTTAACTAGAGTCTAATCATTGTCCATTTTCTAGAGTAACTAGATCATTAAATAGTACTTAGGAGATGTGAAGCCACATTTCCCTCGATGGGTTCTTTCAGCCCAGTTGACTTAGTGATAACATGGGCAGGAAGAGAAAAATGAGGAAGCGAGGAAGATCGAGAGAAACACCATTTACGGATTCTCTATCGTATTATTTTACAGTTGCATTCATCTGCCTTAAATGAACAAAGATACTGGTATTTTCACTGAACATTTTGTGCTTAAGAATTAGGTCCTAGACTGAGCCCGATGGGGAAAATCCACAAGAAAGAATCCAAAAAGCTGCATCAGTTTTACTGGCTGATTTCTGAGCTGACATTCCGTGTGACATTCTTCAGATGTTCTATCCATCAGGATGTGCCATGGTATGAGAGGTAAATGTCACATATCAGGGCAACATTCTGGGCCAAAGAGCAAGAGAAGCGATCTCAATGACAAATTCTGAAGCGTAATAACAATGTGACCAAACTCACTCCTCCTCTAACTATGGAGCATAACCTGGCAGTTACTAAACTTCTAAAACTAAAGTACGAGGTCCTGGAAATATGGCCGAGTGAGCCAAGCACCTACATTACAGTGGATGTGCTTTGGACGAGCCCAAGCAGTCTACTGAGCTATCCAAATCAGCTCAGCAATAGTATCCCAGATCTTGCTCAGTTTCTTGGGAAGTCTGGGACTCTCTCAACAACCAGCACCACCAGTGACAGCCATCTCAGTGAGTGAAAAAGCCTTGAAGAATGTCGCTGGTAGGAAATATTGCTGAGCAGCATGCATGTCCTTGGGGCAACCAGCCACGGGGATGAAGGACAAAAGTAAAATGTCACAGGGCTTCTCAAATGCTTTCCTGCCGGCTGTCAGAAGGGTGAAAGCAGAACTCATTTCCTAATATATGTTTTTATTTCCTTTGTACATGACAAAAGGTCTGGAGGTGTTAATGGGAGGGGCTAGGGAGCAGAGGCCTCTGGAGGTAAGAACCAGAGGCAAATGTCCTGCCCACGTAAGCAGCGTTAGTCCCAGGGAATGAAGGCAGCACAGAGATGACAGCAGCATCTTATATAGCACTTGATCTCCATAGAAAGATTGTCTCTAATATGTCTCTATTACGCAGATTTAAAACACTGAGGCCCAAGTGTACTTAATCAAGATTAGAGAGCAAGTTGGAAGTGTGCCCCTTTTCTTTTCATGGGGGAAAACTGGAATAAAAGAATATAAGCTTTCTCAGCATATTATTCCCCTTAACATTCGGCCTAGGGGTAGGCAGGAAATTGGGAAGGAAAAAGGGGGCCATGGATCCCAATGTGTTGACTATAATAATTATTCATCTCACCTGGCCTCTGCGGCGAGCAGCTCGTCATAGTGAGAGGATCTCTGATCGTCATCCTGCCGGTATCTGATCACCGTGGCCAGACCTTTGCTGACAAGGGCCTCAGCAATGTTTCTGCAACAGAAAAGATAGGTCAGTGAGCACCAGAAGTGCGTATGGGGCTCAGTCAACAGAAATAATAACAGTTCGCACCTGGAGGTCTTAACGTGTCCTGGCAGAAAGAGAGAAGTAGGGAGAAGCCGTGGATTTTAAGACTAAATGAGCTGCTAAGCTAGAAATCCAAATAAAAGATGGAATAAAGTTCCCTAGCTCAGCACTTTTTGGCTAGTGCAGTCAGATGCTATATCAATCCATAGATAAATACAAGCAGAGAATATCTATAAGAAGCCCACATTAGGCCAGCGTTTCTACAGAATGTTATAAATAAGAAAAGTCTGCTTTACAACACCAGATAAACAGATAAAAAAGAAAAAAATACATAAAAGCGTGACCTAAATTTCTCAAAATCTCTTTTCTAGCCTACCCTGTAACTAGCAAATGTCTTATTCCAGTTTGGCGGTGTTAGAAACAGGGGTCTGACATAACACTTGGGCACTTCCCTTCTCATCAGAACTCCCGACCGTGGCTCTCCCACCCAGAGGGGTGTGCAGAAGGTGATTCTATGGGTGAATTGGGTAGGGAAGGGGAGGAAGATACTGGGGTGGGATAAAAGGTCTTTATGGAAAATGGCATAAAATGGGAGAACAAATAAAATCTGAGATACTCCGAGTGACTACTTAGGACTAAAGAACATGAAGATTAAAATCCTTCTTAATTCAGTTCTCAGTTGTGTTGCATTTTCTTCCCTCTACTAGAATTAGAAACGGGCCTGCTCTAAGTGACTTATATCTACCAACTAGAGAAGAGTGCACTGGACATGACTCTCAGACAACTAATGAAGCGTATCTGCTTGGTTCCTCCCCATGCTGGAAAGAACCTTGATGTGAAGGACTCACTTTGCAAAAACAAATTTTCAAAAATCACCTGTAGCCAGTATTGGAATCCAAAAGGCATGATGCTGTCGGGTCAGACTGGTGGTTATGCCTTTGTGTCTGTCATAATTACATGAAAGGTCCCACTCCAACCATCTGGTTAGCTGCCCTTTAGGGAGAGGGGATACTAAGCAATAGGCTACTGTACCACATGCTTGGATTTAGTGCTGTTTGGAAATGTAGTTAACTCTTAACAAACTGATGTTCCTAGAGTCTCCGATTTGGAGATGTTGGGAAATGAACGAACCCTTTTATGTGCATGTTTAATCCACTTAAAGAAGGATTCGCTTTATCAAAACCCAGGGAATTACTGTTTTAAAAGATGCAGAAAAAAATAATAGGTGCAGAAGGGAGAGGAGGAAAAGATGCTGTGGCCGATTCCCCTCTGCTGCCTGTTTATCTACTGCCAGCAGGATATTAATATCTCCAAATCACCACGGAATTAGCACTTCTCAAATCCACTCCCTCAAAGAGGCTGCTTTGCTGGCCACCCCTGTCTCCTGAGTCACCGCATAAGCATGCTGGCAAACGCTGTCATTATCATAGAGTTGGGTTTGGCAGCATGGAGAATGCCAACAGCCCCAAGTCAACAGCTGTAGATGTTGATAGATGGTGAGAATTTAACTAAGGGTGTCACCACGAAGCCCCAACTGGGCAGGAGGGGGGCACCCCTTGTATGTTATAAATAAGAAACAGGCTGAGCGGTCTGAGGATTGGAAATGCCAGAAGAACAAAGACGTATTTGTTACTGCATTTTGAATTGCTGCGCATTGACATTTTACAGTCAATACATGGGGTCTGGAGGAGAAAGTTGGAATGACAAAGCAGGCAAGAAAAAATTCAACACAAACAAGCTTCTTTTTGAAAAAGCTAGAGAATACTAAGCGAAACAGCACAAATGTTTAATGAGCCACTCCTGTTAATGCTGCTCAAATCAATTCACAGCATTGCTGAGTACCTGTGTGGCCAGCAGAGCGCCAAGGACACAAGCTCCCCTTATTTCTGCTGCACTCTGTCTCCTGTCCATAAGTGGGTGAAGGCCTCAGATCCCCGACTCCACACCCTGCCCACTACCCTCCTTTTCTTTCTCTCGGAAGCCTAGAGTGTAAGCCATATTCTCTTAGCTTCATGTCTCTAATTACAGGTTTCTCCTGAAGGAACAGTTGTGGTCCTGGTGCTTAGCAGTAAAGAGAGTGAAAACACATGAAATAAAAATAACCACCATCATTACTGGGCATTTACTATGAGCCAGGCATGAGAATCGCATCACATGCATTTCCTTCTTGGTGTGTGCTCCCCTGTGAAACTCCTCAGTGCTTATCTTCCTTCTAAGTTATGAGGTCGGAGAGGGCAAGAGTCTCCTCATTCTTGCTTTGTAACGCAGGGACTAGAGTCACACTTGGCATAAAGTAGGCAGTAAATATTTTCCGGATGAAATAATTTAGCTTATTTAGGATAATTTTTTCACTGTGGTAAAAAAAATCACAGCGCATTCTTATAATTGTGTTTTAATACATCCTGAAACTCGAGATACTCTCGGAAATGTCAGAAAAACACCTAATCATTTTGGAAAGACAGCACTGGAACATTATTTATTATCCTAAGCATATATTAGCCAAGCTTGCTGAGAACAGAATTAAGGACAAAAGCTTCTACATGTGCCTTACCAGCTTTTGTCTTTCTCTTCTCCATTATCTAAGACACAGAATTAAAGGGAATGAAAGGGAGAGAGAGAAAATGGAATTAGCCTAGATTCATGTACTTGACTCTCATTCATTTCTTTTGACTGCTAGTGAAAGGTCAGGAGAGTCTGCCCAGCCCCACTCCCAAAGATGGTTCAGAAACCGACACTGCTGTGTTGATCATTTGCCCAGTAAGAAAAGAGAACATTAAATTACGTGCCATGACATTATGCCACTTTAGACAAATTCATAAGTTCTGCTTTCTTGAGTGTATCAGTAATTCTACTTCAATTACACATGTCTGGCTCGATAGATAATTTATACAAAAAGGGCACTAACAGCCGAAGAATTAGTGCTGGGATTGAATTGTTTCTTCAAAGTAAAAGAGAAATTTAGGTTCTATTAAAAGTGAACACTTTCCATTAGACATGATCAGATATCCTTGCTACAAACACAGCCAACCCACAGATTTTCTCCAAATGAAATCTTCCCCTCCCACTTGTTCATACATCAAGTGCATTGTTTAATGAGCACATACTTTCCAATTAATAAGATACCTCTGAAACCATGGGGGTCCTAATATTCTGCCAACGTGGAGAAAAGGTGTTCCATGCCCATGCTCGAGAATACGTTTAAATAGATTTCATTTACAGGATATTATAATGTTTTTAGCACATTTTTGATAGCCTTCTCCATCTGCAATCCCCCCACCCCAATCAAAACTTACAGAAAAGTTGCACATATTGTATGAAGAATGGACCCTCCATCTTTGAACCATGTGAGAGTAAGCAACTGACCAGGTGTACCATCACTCCCAATATTTTAGTGCTAATTTCCTACAAATTAGGATATTTTCCTATATAACAAAAAACAGACAATGAATAAAACTAGGATAGCAATAAGGACACAATATCTGCAAACCCCACCCAAATATTGCCAATTGTTCCAAAAAAAAAAAAAAAAATACATAGGGGAAAAAGGACCTAATTTAGAATCAGGTGTTACATTTAGATGTCATGCCTTCTTAGTCCGGAATACTTCCTCGGTCTTTCTTACAACATCATGGCTTGACACTTGGAAAAGCATAGGCCAATTATTTCTGTGTCTGATGCAGGTTATGTATCATTGCCAACAACACAAAAAAGAGATGCTATACTGTTCCCTAAGCCCCCTATGAAATGATCTATAATTTACCATTGATGTCCACTTTGATCGCTTGATCAGGATGGTGTCTACCAGACTTCTCCTCTGTAGTTACTCCTTTTCCTCTTTATAACTAATAGGAGACACTTTAAACTATGTAATTTTTAGCCCTCAAACTCGCAAGTTATTCTTTTATTTATCTGGAACAGTATAAATTCATGGAATCCAATTTTATTCAAAGGGTTATAACCCACTACTATCATTATTTATTTTGATGCTGAAATTGTTCCCAATCTGGCTAGTAAAAACTGGTTCAAGTGGGCTTCTGTGTCCTATGGACATGCCCCCATCATTCTTTGAGCATGTCCTGATTTCCAGGACAACAACATATCCCGGGCTTATCTTGTGCTGTTTTCTGTAACTCTGAAATTAGCCAATTATCTACTAGCCTATATTTACATCATTATTTCTGTATATTTATTTATAATATTATTGGAAACCATGTGTGGCAGTCATGAAAATGTGCCTCTCAGATTTCTCACCACAGGAAGCATAACTGACGGACAGTCCCAGCTGCTGTGCCTGGAAAACCATCACTGTTTTAGCCAAAGCTATGCATTTCCCCAGCCACTACCAGCCAAAGACTGAGCACAGACAGCAGAGATACTAAGGCTGGCCTATTGCTGAGACTTTGGACTCCTCTGATGGGCAGCTTTGGCTTGCAGACTCCTTGTCAGCTTGGCAGAAACTCTTAGAATTAACTGCCATACAGCTTAGATTTTTCCAGTTCAACCTTCCTTCTTTCCCTCTCTCCTCCTCAACAGGGCTAAGGCCCACAGTGCAGTCTGAAGGCTCTCCCAACCTCATCCAGATCCCTGAGAAGAGTCTACCCCAATTAAACTCTTGCACTGCACATTTAGTCCCATCTTGGCATCAGCTTTTTAGAAAACCTGAAACAATATATCATGAATTAACACAGATATCTACAATCTCAATCCACTATTACAGGGCTCATTGTAGTTTTCTTCCTTTCCATATTTATACCTCCCTTCTCTGACTGTGAGAAACCTGCCTTGCATTACCCTTAATTTTTTACTTATAAGAAAAAACTCCCTTTATATACATACTAGAGGCAGGTGCACAAAATTTGTGCACTGGAGTGTGTGTGGGGTGGTGTCCCTCAGCCCAGCCTGCACCGTCTCCAATCTGGAACCCCTCAGGGGATGTCTGACTGCCTAAAACAACAGTCAGACATCCC